AGAGAGGGAGGGGGAGAGAGAGAGGGAGGGAGAGAGAGAGGGAGGGAGACAGAGAGATCATTTACTGCTTGCCCTGGCCAAGCACTATCATATAGCCTTTGGTGGTGGGGTACTGGGGATCAAACTCAGGACCTTGTGCTTGCCAGGCAGGCCCTGTGCCACTGAGCTAAATCTCCAGCCCTCAGCCTGACTTTTTGTAGGAGGGTAAGATTGGTCCTTGGATGACATGTAACGGGGGGAGTCTTGGAGGGTGAAGGGGACCAAGAACCACCTGGGGAAGAAAGGGGCAGATATTCCTATCCTTGGCACCCAGCAGCTCCCCACTCCTGCCTGCCCTCTCTCATTAGGCTGCAAAACCAAGGGCTTACTGAGGGAGTGGGCAGGCCTGGTCAGGGCACCCTAAGAACCTCATGGAGACTTTTAACAGGCACCAGCCCCGGAGGCCTGGAGAACTCAGGCAGAGCCTGAAGGGTGTCACAGAGCAAGGGAAAGGGGCTCCCAAACTGGCAGTGTCAAGCCCTTCCCCTGCTCCACTCAGTCCCTGCAGGGACTGGGCTAGGAAGGTCACAGCCTGGCTGTCCTGGAACAGCTTCTACTTTGCATGCTGTGCCTGGAGCTAAACTACACTTGGGATCCCTGGCTTCATAGCCCCACCCTCTTCCCTTCTTCCCAACCTCTCTGGGGGACAAGAAAGCACCAGGAAGCCCAGGGAAGGGGAAGCCAGGTGGGTGGGGCTGCCCTGCAGACCCCAACTCACCAAAGCCTAAGACATGGCAGACCTTGTCCCACCCGGGGACCTGCAGCTCTGGGGCTGGCCCAGCAGAAGGGAGTTAGCATAAAGGAGAACAGACGCTAGTCAAGCTTCCGTATCATGTAAACAAGGCGGCAGTGACATCTGCCTGGTCTTTGGCGGTCTGATGGAGGCACATGATGGTTTTGAGAGGCCCTGGACCCTCTCATGTGAGATTCAGGCCCTGAGGATAGGAGGCTGGTCAGTGTCCATTGTGCAAACTGGTGCAGAGTGAGCACAGGAGAGGACAGGTAGGTTCCACAGGTTCCACCCACCACTGTCCTGGGGCTCAGGAGATCACGCAATTGCTGGCCTTGGCAGGACTGGGACTTGTTTTACCTGCAGAGATAAGGAACACAGGCAGGGAAGGGTATAAATGAGATGCTCAATAGACTTGCCTCCAGCCCCTATCCTAGGTTCTGTCACACCTCAACTTTGGGGACAAGGGTTATTGGCTCCCTTCCAGGCTGCTGATCTGGAAACCAGCTCAGCAGGACACCTGGGAAAGCAAAGGAACAGATTCTCCCTGCCTTGACAGCCTCAGCCGGCTCATCATTGGGACATCAAGTGGCCGGTTGTCTCTTGACCAAACAGGGGCGGGGAAAGGACTCTGGAGACAACTATGTCCAATGACTTAGAAGTCACGCCAAGACTTCTTTCCAGTAGCTAAGATCTTAAGCAGCTTCAGGCTCTCCAGTGATCCATTCTCAATGGTCACGCTGCAAGCCAGATCTTTCGCTCTGTTCTACAGCAGAGGACACAAGCCCTGTTCCCAGAGCCTATCCAGACCAGTCTCAGCTCCTTCTGCCGCACAGGCACTGGGTTGGAAGGGGAAAAGCTGCACTATGGAAAGGGCCAGCAGCACTGCTGGGTGGGTGGCCCACATCACTTAGTGTGGGAAGGGAACAGTGCAGGCTGCCGCTCCAGCCACAGCAGCTCATTTTTCCATTTCCCTGGGCCTCAGGATCCATTTCCACTTCCTTCCTGATCCTATGATATGGGCTGCAGTTTCTGTGGCTGATTCCTGCTCTCTGATGTGGGGGGGAATGGAGCGGAAGCTGTGAGGCAGACCTGACACCTTGGGCCTTTGAGGCATCAGGCTGTTGGAGGCAGAGTCCATATCCTCAGAGCCTGGGCCACCTCTCCAGGTGGAGGCCACTGGTGTTATTTCCTGCAGGCTCCTCCCTACACTGCAAGGGCTGCCTCCCTGGCACTCACACCATCTCCCAATGTCACTTCAGCTGTGAATTTAATTAAAGCAGTGTCTGCCTTCTCTTCGGGCTGTTGGCAAGAGAGACACAGGACAGAGTTGGACTTCGAGCCTTGGTTCTATAGCCTTCTCCCCCTCTACTCCATGCTCCCTGCAAGGCTGATGCTCAGGTCCACAGCCTGTGCTGTGTTTGCCATTGCTGTGTCTGGGCCAGACTGAACTCACTCTATGGGACCTACTGCAAACCCAGCTGAGCCTCCTGCTCCGTGTCCCCCATACTCAGGCAGGTGGCTGCTGAGGCAGAGAAGGTAGAGGGTCGTCACCTGCTCCAGTGCTGAGGACTGCGTCTAATGTGGCTCTGCTGAAGTCATTGCATTCTGCTGTCCTACAGCCCCTCACTGCTGCAATGGACACATCGCCCCCTCTCTGCACTCCTCAGTGCCTTGTTCTATTTGCTTGGCCTACTGAGCAGATGCCGGCTTCCTCCTCAGAGGTGGCAGTGTTTTAGAGGCAGGTAAGCAAAACCAATCTCTGGATCCAGAAGCAGGGGCAGGAATGCAGCTCTAGGGGTCAGGGAACAGGGATGCTGGGTGGGTGGGGTTTGTAGCCCCAGCTCCTCCTTGGAGACAGCTGCCTTCAGCAGGACCTTCCCGCCAATTCATCAGGCTGGATGCAAGCCTGGAGAGAACACTTATCCTCAGGATTCATTTCCATGCCTCTGATGGAGAAACTGGATAGAGGGAAAATTCTTCATGTTCCATTGCTCCATCAGTGCTCATTTACTGGGAGTCTGCTGTGGGCAGGCACATCAGACCAGTTCAGATGAATGGGAAGGATTACATGAACATTACCTCTTCTCTCCTTTAAAATTTTAAAAAATATTTTACAAACTACAGGTGGCAAGGGTGAGGGTTGGCCTGAAGAAGGTTTATGCAGCAACATCAAGCTCCACAGAGGAGGTGACACTGAAACGAGACTGCACAGGCACTTGCAGGGTGGGGGACAGGGCTCCTGAGTGCAGAGTGGTGCGATGGAAGGGTTGGACTGTGACAGTCCAGGTCATTTGTAACCAGAGCTGCCAAGCAAGGTGATGTGGGAAACAGGAAGGAAAAAGGCATCAAAGAGGATGCTCACAACAAGGACAATGGTCCCCTTTTCCTATAGTTTTCAGGACTTCACATTCCCTTTGTTGGAAAGATCCTTTCCCTGACATCCACACAGCTCTGTCCCTCCAGCAGTCTCTGTTGTACTGCTGCTTGGTCAGAGAAGACTTCCCTGTCCTCCTGTTATGAAAGGATCCTTCCCCTCCTGTGCTCCCAACTGTCCCCAGCATAACATGCTCTGGAAGACAGGGACTTTATTCACTCTGCCCCTTGCTGCACAGGAACTCAGAACAATGCCTGGCACACAGCACACACTTCACAAACATACATTTAATGGGTAAAATCAGTAGGCATCAGCAAGCTACTTGGGGTTTATACCAATACTAACTATAGAAGCGACAGCAGCAGCATGAGTGACCTGTGTGTTCTCACTCTCCTGGCACCACCCTGAGATAGTGACATAAGCCCTGGCCAGGCCAAGGGAATCTAGAAAGACAGAGGGACTCTGGCCTCAGCCAGAGAATAAGTAGCCCTGCTCCTCCTCTGGAGCTAGGTGGGGTTGGTCCCTGGAGGAGGCTGTGGGATCAGAACCCCCACGGTAACAGTGCTCAGAATCATCAGATCAGACTGCAGACTCCTTGCACAACCTTGGGCCGGACCTGGCTTAGGGGCCACACTAAATTCTGAAACTCCATCTTGACAAGCAACACTTGAGAGGATGTGCCCTGGGTTGGGGGTCCACAGGTCTGGAGAAGCCGTGAGTCCAGCAGGCACTTCCTTAGCAGTCCCACGGTCCGTCTCTGACAGAACCCAGATTTCTGGGAGAGAGATCTGAGACCTTCAGCACCCTCTGTTCCCTGGATGACACAGGAGAGTGTGAAGTCCCCAGATCTGGGAGCCAGAAGCCATAGCGCTGTGAAGCCAGACCTCATTGCCAGCAGTGGCCCATGCACAAACCAGGGGGATCCAGGAGCCTTCTGGAAATGCAGGTCACCTTGGAGACCACTTGGAAGACAAATCCCCACCCTCATCTCTCTCATACCAGCAGGAAGGGTCCAGCTGACATTCAGGCCTCTGACCAGGGCAACAGTGCCAGCCCCCACCTTGGGGAACAGCCACCATCGCTTTGCAGGAGCCCTGGACAGAGGCTCACCTCTCTGAAGCTTGGGAGTGTCAGGCAGGATGCTTTCAGGCTAACGCATTTCACATCTCATCCCTCTTAACTTTCTTTTTTTCTTCTTTTTGGTAGTAGGGATTGAACTCAGGACCTTGCACTTGGGAGATAGGCGGCAGAACCACTGAGCTAAATCCCCGGCCACTATATAACTTTCTTAAAAATGTTGTCCATTTCCCAGAGACCCACAGAGATATGGAGGTTGGGTTTCAAGTATAGCACCTAGAGTCTTCTTCCCTAGCCTGCTGGCTTCCTGAGGGCAGATCTCGCCCGAGTTTCCTGTGTGTGGCAGAACTATCTGTTGGTGTAAGGACACTCTATACTGGAGAACTGCGTGGGAAAAGCTTGTCAGATTCTTCATCCCAGTCCAAGTAGTACTGACTCTTTTTTGTGGTGGTAGGGATCAAACCCAGGAGAACTCTATCACTAATCTTCATCCCCAGTCCTTTATATTTTTGAGACAGGTTCTCACTAAGTTGCCCAGGCAAGACTCATACTCAAGATCCTCCTGCCTCAGCCTCCCTCAGTGCTAGAATTACAGGTGTGCACAATTATGAGTGGCTTACTTATGGTTTTTTCTTTTTTTGGTACTGGGGATTGAACTTGGGACCTTGCACTTGTGAGGCAGGTAGCAGCACCACTGAGCTAAATCCCTGGCCCACTCATAGTATTTTCATACAAAGGCTGCCCTTGACTGCTTCTCTCTGAAGCTGGGGATCTCTCCCCGAGAGAGCCTGTCCTGAGCTCCTGGGTGGGAGCACATGGCAGGCTGGAGGGAAGGTGAAGTTGGTCTAGCACAGGAGCAAGGTCTAGCAGAGTGAAAAGGCAAAAGGAAAAGGTGCCCAGCTTTCACCACTAGAGGGGGCTGTGAGCCTTCAAACCACCAGGCTCCCCCGTCCCCCCCTACCTCCCCAGCCCCAAAGGCAACAATTTCTGGGAGGTTCTCCCAAGGGCTACACCTGGGTTTGCAAAAATTTGCATACTGTTTGACAACTATATACTTCTTATCAAGCAATTTTACAGGCTAGCAGCTCTCAGCGTTTTCTATCTTTTTCTCTTTCATCAACTCTGTCGTCACCCTACATCCTCTCTTGATGAGAGGGCACAGAGGCAGGACTAAGTGAGAATCAACTCAAAGGGACCTTGGAAAACCTCCACAGCTCACTCTGTCCCCTTCTAGAAGAGGAGACAGCCCAGGGAGGGGAGGGACATGTCCAGGGCACAGGGGCAGTGTCATGAGTGGGAGAAGGTGGCAGGCCTTGTCTGTCTCCTTGGCATTCTGAATGCTCTCTGTGGGAAGGGGGTGCCATCCTGGGATCCTTGGATGGGTGACAGCTCCAGGTGGTCTAGGGTCACTCATCCCCTCCGTGGGCCTGTGGTTGGGAGCCCCACCCTCTCACACGTACAGTCAGGACTCAGTGGCTGCCTGCAGGGAGGCATTGAGGCAGGCTGGCTGTGCCCAGTGTTGGGAAGGTAGAGAAGAAAGAGGCCCTGCTTCTCATCCTTGCCTTGGGGGAAGAGAGAAAAGAGGAGGAGAAGAGTCCTGAAGAGCCCAGATTGAAGTGCCTCTGGAACTGGATGCGCATCCGGGCTGGCAGAGGGTATACTAGACACACATCCTCGGGAAGAAATGTGGGCTTTCCTGACTACGTGTGCCAGCCACTCTTGTTGCATTCTTCTGGCTCTTTGCTGGTGCAAGTGCTCTGACAGGGGCTTCCCGAGGGCTTGGTCTGGTCTGCTTAGCCGGCTCCAGAGCACCATGTGCAAACACTCAAAGATGAGCAGCAGTGGCTGCGCCCACCCAAGTCATCCAAGTAGCGGAATTTGAGGCCGAGAGACAAACTAGAGGTGGCTGGAAATGACAAGACAGTGGGCCTGGTGTTTCTATGGAAACAGTGCCTCAGGGTGAGGGGTTGAGAGAAGAGGAAGCTTCCACCTCACTTCCAGGCAGGACTTAGGATCAGCCCCTTTGTGGCTGGGCGCATCCCCTCCTCTTTCCTGCCAGGTGTTCACCATGGCAACCCTCCTTTCAACAGGAGGTGCAGAGCAGCATCTAGTGTTGAGGGAGTGCAGGAGCCCAGCAGGGAATGGGAACAGGCACTAGAGACCTCCCCTTGACAAGATAGGGCCTCGGCCCAGGCCTGGGTTTGAATCCTGGCTTACAACCACTTCTTGTGCCTTGGGACCACTTAATCCTCCTCTGAAGGGCTTGAAGTGTTGTCATGAGGGTGAAAGGAAACAGTACCTCCACAGGGCCTGGCCTGCAGAGCTGCTTGGGAGGGTGTGTGGAGGTCCTCACTGTGCCCACACCACAGAGACCCCCCCCAGCCTGCTCTAGCCTGACTTAACATATCTGCAGGCACATCCTGGTAACAGGTCCTAGGAATAAGCACATGGAAAGTGGTTGTGCCCCTGCTCTTTGGCCGCTTAGAATCAGGTCAAATGAGGGTTGTGGAGTCACCTGAGTCCTGAAGCCCTTAGGCTGCCCAGGACAAGACCTTAGGCCTTGGCTCCAAAAGACCTGGCCAGCCAGGGCGTTCAGTTCTCACTGACACAAAGCCCTACAGCCAAAGGGGAAAATCAGAACACTGAAAGCCTTTTGACTGAAGGATACTGGGCCAAGAAAGGCAGTCTGGTTGTCACCACCAGCTTCCTGAAAGGCCATCCCAGAGACTTCCGGAGAAAGAGATCAAAGCCAGGGCCTTGAGGGAATCCCAAAGAGATGGCCAGAAAGACACGGCCACCGTTAAGCTCTTGTAGAGGGCCAGCCTGCTTGTCAAACAAATCCAGGAGACCAAGTCAAGCTACTGACAACAGAAACAAGAAGCTGGGTCAGGACCGCAGTGGGGCACAGGTGAGGGTGGGGTGTGCCTGACCAGGTTAGATCCTGTTGACAGTGATCCAGCAAGGAACAAGATTGGCCAGTTAGAGCCCTGGACTCAGCCCAGTCTCGGGCCTTTACCCTGCTGGGCGAGGCCCCCTTTTCTTCATTTACAAAGGAGAAACCTGCTCCACTTCCTTCATTTGCCTGAGGGAGTCTGAGGGCAACTTGAAAGCTGTCTCGAGGCGGTTCCATGCCCACCACTGCTCTGAGCCCCAGGAACACACAGAGGTCTCAGAAGCGCAATGACTCTTCCAAGGCCACCGGGAAGACACAGGCTAGAGCCAGGGTGGTAACTGAGGACCTTCTGACCCAGGAGTCTGCTTGCTCAAGCCAGCCTCTGTGGACATGAGCCCATGCTCCTCCACAAGCGCCAAGCCAGGATCGGGGCGGCACGGGGCCCCAGGCAAGAGGGCTCACCTGAGATGTTGGCGCTGGAACCTTCACTGGGCTTCTTTCCCACCAGAAAGTCCTTGTCGGTCACCGTCTCTGTGGAGAGGGAGCTGTCCATGCTGCTGTGCACTGCAGGCCTCTTGGCCCTTCGGCTGAAGAATCTGCTGCTGAAGCGCTTGCCCTCCTTGGCCGCAGTGACCTCCCCGTTGGCAGCTTCCCCCTTGCCATTTTGGGCAACTGGCTCTCCGGCCTTGGGCCTCAGGTCTATGTGCATGTGAGAGACCTTCCTGCCTTCCGTCCGGCTTGGCTCTGTCAAGGCAATGGGCTCCACGGGGGGCAGCAGCTGCTCCACTGTGACCAGGTCATTCAGGAAGCTGTCCAGGCACCGGGCCGACTCACCACCTCCACTGCCTTCCTCCTGCCCCTCTGGGTTGCCACCAGGGTCCCGCTGTTGCCGGGCAGCCCAGCGCATCATCTCCCCTGGGGGCTGGCGGCTGCCTGCCACCAGGGCGTACTTGGGGTTGATAAGCTTGCGGGCCACAGTGGAGGAGTAGTTGAGGCCAAGTCTGCCTGCGCCTCCTCCCAGGCCCAGCTGCTGGAACAAGTTTACCTCCTCAGAGATGGCATACAGCTCCCTGAACTCCACATCAAAGGGCTCTACGTACTGCCCTGTCAGAAGGAGGAGAAGGTTCCTGTCCACGTAGGAGGAACTCCAGGTGAACCTGGAACGTGAGGGTGAAAAAGCAGACTTGTGTGGCTGGGCTGCTGTTTTGCCCTGCCCGTCATCCCCACCCCTACAGCCAGACTGCCTGCTGCTGGACAGAAGGCCCATGCCACCTTTCTGCTGGACTGCTTTATCTCTGTCAGCCTAAATTTTCCCTTTCTCTAGGTCTTGCCCTCAAATGCAGAAAGCAGGCAGTGGACTCAGGAGAAGGGCATGAAAAGTCAGGTGGGGATTCAAACCTGTTTTCTACCTTTTTCTACCTGTGAAAAAAACAATGGGCCTCAGCCATGTGTAGTGGTGTACACCTGTGATTCCAGTATTCTGGGAGACTGAGGCAGGAGGATTGCAAATTTGAACCAAGCCTGGGCAAGTTGGTGAGACCTTGTCTCAAAATAAAAACTAAAAGTGGCTCAGTGTGAAAGTCCTGAGTTCAAACACCAGTACTGCAAAAAGAAAAAAGCAAGGCGGGGAGCTAAAAGGATCTAGGGTACAAAATGTTAGGGATTACTTAACTCAGAGTTGTGAGGCTCAAATGAAATAACAAAATGTTTAGCTGAGTCCCTGGTATATACACACACAGTTAATAAACAGTAACTGGGCTGCCACTATTGTCAAAACTGTTCCTTATTGGTTCTCTGAATTTTCAGAGTGCTTAATTTCTGTAAAACAGTCCATACTATAATCTTGAAAGAGGACTTATGGGCTGGGGATTTAGCTCTGTGATTTTGCTGCCTGCCTTGCAAGCACAAGGTCTTGAATTCCACCCCCTAGTACCAAAAAAAAAAAAAAAAAAAAAAAAAAAAAAAAAAAAAAAAAGAAAAGAAAAGAAAAAAAAAGAAAAGAAAAGAAAAAAAAAGAAAAGAAAAGAAAAAAAAAGAAAAGAAAAGAAAAGAAAAGAAAAGAAAAGAAAAGAAAAGGAAGAAGACTTAAGACATTTACTAACTGCTTCATGTACTGAAGTCTTTTCTCCCTTTAATTTTAATTTACTCAGAGGACAGAGATTGCACACATACAGTCTCTCGTGTGTCTGGTAATTCATGTTTAAACTGAAATTCTGAAGACAGGCCTCTCTGCCTCACACTGCCTTCTGGATCTGGTGCATTCTATTTCCTGCTTGTCCCACCTAACAACTAGCTTCAAGACTCAACTAGCTGCTGTGGACCGTAAAAAACAGACAGTGCTTAGTGCCCATGAGGCATTGACCCTCTTTCTGGAATAATCCATCAACCAGAAGACGCAAGGAAAGGACTGGCTGGAGGCAGTCTGCCATTGGGATAGACAGTATGTCACAACCGAAATAGGAATCAAGAGCAACAACATCACCTCACGGCTGTGCAGGCCCCCGTGTAGCACCTTCCTGAATAGTTACCATGAAAAGTTACCTCCTGTGACCTGGCCCAACTCACCTGTAGGATCCAGTGGCTACTTTGTCACCATCCACCATCAAGAACCTCGATGACAGGGTCCCCTTGACCCTCCCCATGGGCATGTAGAAGCCGACACCTGTCACAGAGCGGACGCGGATGTTCTGTTGAGAATAGGAGAAAAGCATTGTCACCCTGTGTCGCAGTCCAGTGCCAAGGCTTTGCTGTGGCAGAGAAAGAGCCTTCTGGTACAAGGACCCAGTCTTCTGACTCGTGTTTGGATTCTCTGTTTTCATCAGTCTTACATATACAACTCCATATGGAGTTGGAGAGTGGGAGGAAGTCACCAAATCTTTGAATGTGGACAAGCCAAGAGGGTTTCCTGCCTCTTCCCAGAGTTCCTCAACAAGAGAATCACAGCCCCAGATTTGAACTTGACAGAAAAGTCAGTGATTCTGCAGGCTGAGCACCCCGGGAATGTGCCAGAGCTACCTTAGCCTTGGCAGCCATGGGATAAAAATTAAGCTGGGCATGTGATGTAGCAGTTACCAGTTCCTGAGTTGAGGTTTTAGACGAAGAGAAGGGGTTGAGATCTTGAACTCAACTTCAGCCGAGCCCCTGAAGTGGGGTAGAAGCAAGCAAAGGGAGAAGGAAGCGGAAGAGGAGGAAGAAAAGGAAGAGGAAGAAGAGGAAGAGGAAGAGGAGGAAGAGGAGGGAGTCTTCATCACATCTGCTCACCCACTACCCCAGTGGTACAACTTACCCGAATACGGAAGTCAGTGAGCTCCAGGCCTTGACACATCTCCAGGAAATATTTCACCCCTGCCTCATCCAGGATGATGTACACTGGGACCCGGCGCTTAGAGGCAACATCCACAATGTCTTGGAAAATATCACTGTCAGTGAAGAGGTCCATGACCACAGCAATGACCTGGACAGGGAAGGGCACTGGTGAGGGAGGGATGTTGTGATGACACATCTTTGGAGACACCCCAGCTCAGACAGGAACAGCTGGCTCTAAGGTCACAAGTGGCCAAGAGTCCAAAACCCCATCTGCACTACTCCTGGGTCCTCCAGGTCCCCACCAATCTATGAGCACATGAGCACAGGAGAGAGGTGCAGGCCCTATTGCTCAGACTTCATCTTGGACTCCCCCCAATAATTCTTCAGAAGCCATAACAGAGGAGAACTAGGAGGCCGAGGAGAGCTGCTCCTGCTGCCCCAGGGAAACCAGCAGGTGATGCCAAGGTGCAATGGATGGGCTCACTTCCATCAGCTACAGAACTACTTGAACATCTCTTTCTCAGCAGGCCTGGGCACTCTGAGCTCCCTGCAGCTGTGAAGAGCCTGCACTTTCCCAAGCACAGATCTGGGCAGTGCTCCAGTTGGCTTGGATGTCCCTGGCCTCTGGTGTCCAGCCCTTCCCAACCCGTCCTCAGAGTAAGGTCAATGCTCAGGACCCTTGACTTACAAAAGTCAGCCCCAATTCTGCACTCTGAAGATGAGGCCTTTTGCAGCCTGGAGCAGATCCACATTTCTAACTACAGCCGCTTCTATTTTCCTGCACAAATCACCCTCTACTCCAGCCTCCAGGGTATTCTCCTTGGCCCCAAACGGTTGCACCAGGTGCAGGGGAAAAGGTCGGGCTTTAGGGTCAGAGAAGTCTTTTAACTTTGGACCTACCACTTTCTATTTATGTGGCCTTAGGCAAGACACTTGCCCTCAAGGAGCCTGTTCCCTCATCCATAGAATGGGGACACCTTGCACTTTACACAGTTGCTACAGGGGTTAGAGATAGTATCTGCAAAGCATCAAACACAAGGCCTGGTTTGTAGTTAAGTCTTTACTAAATAGCCGAGGGGATCCATTTGTCATCACAAGGGAAAGTGTGGATGGTACATTTGGGCAAACAGGCCTGGCACACCCACTCCACACCTTGCTCTTCGGTATCCCAGCCTCCTTGGCTGGAAAATGGAGGTAATAATAGTGCCCATCCCAAAGGTCTGTCTGAGGATCCACAACATGAACCGTGAAAGTACTTGGTACTACAAAATACTAGTGTGGGGCACACGGTAAGCTCCCTTTTTCTTTCTTTTTCCTTTTATTGGAGATAAGATGTTGCTGTCTTGCCCAGGCTGAATGCATGATCCTCCTGTCTCAGACTCCTGAGTTGTTGGGACTACAGGTATATACCACCAAGGCTAAGTTCAATAAGCCTCATTCCCAGCACCCATATCTTTACTATCACTCTCAACACCTCACATCATGGAGGGGTCTCACAAGCGTGCTCCACAACCCCTGCCTGTACAGTCTTCCCACACCTGTATCACTTAAGCCTTCCACAGGCTCACATTTGCCAGCCAATCATTGACACGAGTGTCAATGATTACTGAGCCCCGCAGGCACAGTGAGGATCTAAAGACAGATAAGCTGCAATCACCAACTTCAAGGGGTTAATCCAGGTGGACAAGAGACAGCGGCACATAATAAGTAAGGCATAGGGTAAATGAGCTAAATGCCTTAAGGGTTGCACAAGCAACATGTGATGAAGGGGAAGGAGATAGGCAGCTATTACTTCTAGCCAGGGGAGAACAAGAAAGGCTTCATTCACAGTGAAGAATGGGATGCTTTTGGCTGCCATGAGAAATGAGCAGGAGGAAAACCCAGCTGAGAAGTCGTGTGGGTGGCTGTGCACAAGTAGAGCCCGCACACGGGCACTGGACTGAGGAGGGGGGTGGGATTGTGCCTGCCTTAGGAAGTGACACCTTTTCTAAGGAGCCAATGCACAGGTGCCACATGGCCTACTGGAGGCCTAAGAGGTGCGCACCTCAGACATATATGGCCCCAACAAAGGCATAGTGATGGTTTCACTTTAGGTGTTAACTTGGCTGGGTCATGGTCAGATGTTATTCTGGATATGACTATGAAAGTGAGTTTTGGATGAAATTAACATTAAAACAGTGAGCTTCAAGTAAAGCAGATTCCCCTCCATAATGTGAGTGGGTCTCTTGCAATCAATCAGTGAAGGTCTTCACAGAACAAAGGCTGACCTCCCGAGTGAGAAGGAATTCTGCCTTTGAACTTGGACTGCAACTCTTCTCTAGGTTTACAGTTTGTCACTCTCCCTAAGATTCTGAAATTGCATCTCCAGGATTCCACAAGCCAATTCTTTAAAAGCAATCTCTCTCTCTCATACACACCCTAGTTGGTCCTGCGCCTGTTGAGAAGCCTGACTAACACAGGCACTGAGGATGAGAACTGACATGTACTAAACACTTTCATGGCTTCTTATGCTAAAGCACTCACGAGTACCCAAGTACTCCCGCACTTACATGAATTTCTGAACCTGACTCTCACAAGTATTCTACAAAGATTCACCATTGAGGAAATAAGCGTGGAGGGGCAAAGTAACATGCCTGAGGTCATAGAGCTAGTGTGTGGCAGAGCAAGAAAGTCAGATACATCCAGACTCCAGAAACTCATTTCACTGCTTTACAGAGACGGGATTGCTTCAAGGTACTTCAGAAACATCGAATCAAAAAGGCTTTCTTGAAAAAGATGAAACAAGACAGACAAACACATAGTAAGACTGACAGAAAGACAGGAGTTTCAAGTAAGATACTGAATGAAAAAAGGACAAATACCTAAGGACATAACAGATTTAAGAAATCATAAAAATGGTAAAAAGGATACTGAGGACAAGACTACATTAATGAATTTGAACATGCAAATGACATGGGTAATGTACTACAAAAGAGCTAAACATAATACACCATAATCAAGTTAGTTTATCATGGGAATGTAAGGATGATACAACATCAGAAAACATATCATTTTAATTTATAACATGGAATCAAGAGGAGGAAATCATATATTTTCTTAACAATTTAAAAAATATCTCATAAAGCAATATCCCTAGTTGTGATTAAATTCTCAGAAGGCCAAGACTAGAAGGGACCTTCCATAACTTGGTTAAGTCTATCTACCAGAAACCTATCTGAAGCGTTTTACTTAATACAGAATGCTTAGCTGGATTCCCTTTAAATATCACACAAGGCAAAGATACTCTGTATCACCTAAGTGCTCAACACAGTATTAGAGGTTCTAATCAATGCAATAAAATAAGAAAAAGAAATGACATAAAAGGTTTAGAAGAGATAAAACTACCAATAGTCATTTTCTTAAAAAACCCAGTTGGGGGAAATACAAGAAAAAGAAAACAGTATAATACAAATAAAAACTATTAGAATTAATAAGATAACCCAATCAGACTGCCAGATACAGGAAAAACTTTCAAATATCAATAGCTTTCATCCACTCCAACAAAAATTAACTGAAATAAAATGAAATTCATTCACTATCGCATCTTAAGTATATAGTGTCTAGGATTTATTATCTTTAGAGAAAATTTTTACAACCCCTATTAAAAGACTCATATATTGCTCATATATTAAAAATATATGAGTAAATGAGACAAATATGAAGAGATAATATACATTAAGATTAAAATATCAATTCTACCTTTATTAATAATAAAATTCAAAGTAATTCTAATAAAAGTTCAATAAATGTTTTTGAGAAATTCAAATGTTGCTAAGAAAAGAAGACGACTAAAGATCCACAAGTAGTATATCAGTTTTGAAAAAGAAAAGCTAACTAGGATTCTGTCCTACCAGAGAGTAAGAAATTGTACAGTCATAGTAATAAGAATTAAACGTGGATCTGTACCTCATACCATAAATAAAGGTAATTTCATGTAGGTGAAATACCTAAGTGTGTGGAGAGAAATCTTGTAAGAGAATTGATGAAATGTGGAAAATATCTTCATTACACAGGTCAGAAAAGGATTTCTTGAGATTCCAAAAGCACATACCACAAATAAAATAAAACTCAACAGATGCATTAAAAAATTAGGGGGTTTTCTGTTTAAATAAAGATGTCATAGACAAAGGTAACTGATATAAACAAAAGAAATTAATAACATACAAGGAATCCCCATAAATCAGCAAGAAAAAGATAGGAAGCTAATTTAAAAAGTGGGCAAAGCATATTAATAGGTGATACCCAATATCAGGAGCAAACACCTGTGTGGCATATATATGTGTGTGTGTGTGTGTGTATATATATGTGTGTGTGTATATGTGTGTGTGTGTGTGTGTGTGTGTGTGTGTGTGTGTGTGTGTGTATATATATATATATATATATATATGCCATGAACAGATCTTGCTAGTGATTAGAAAAATTCAAATTAAAACATGTTGATATTCAATTCCTGGTACCAAAACCAAAACCAAAACCAAATAAAACCACATATTGATAACCAGGAGTGGTGATGCACACCTGTAATCCTAGCTTTCTGGGAGGCTGAGGCAGAAGGATTGCAAATTTGAGCCTAGGATGAACAACTTAGCGACTTAGGGAGATCCTACCTCAAAATGAAAAATAAAAAAGGGCTAGGGATATAGCTCAGTATGACAGCCCTAGAATCAATCCCAGTGCCACAGATAAACAAACACATCGATGAAAGAGATACTACTTTACAATATGACACTATCTAGAAAGTGGAAAGTTGGATAATCCTGAATGTTGGTTAGGTGAGGAAAGGGAAACCTTCACTCACTGCTGGTGGGAGGAGATGCTATTACTTGGAATATCAGGCAGAACTTTCTGGATTTTAAGTATGTGTGTAGCTGCAACCCAGCAAAACCATTCTTAGCCATGCACTCCAGGGAACCGTTTGGTCTTAAGGGAGCAGGACCAAAACCCACTGAAGCTGTCTCTGGGATAGCAAGGATTGGGCAACAATTTAGATGCCTTTCTCTGGAAGACTGATGAGGAAAATGCGAGGCATGTAAGGTATTTGATGTGTCATAGCAAGCAGAAACAATGAACCAGTTCCATGTGTAGTAACTCAGATAATTTTTTAAAAATGGTTAGCTCAATTGAGAACATTAGAGAATGAGATCCATTAGCCTAATACTATTTATGTAAAAGTTTTCCATTACTAAAATAATGTTGCATCTTTTTCAAGGATACAAACTTGTCCATAGACATATACTGAACGCA